TCTTTGGTCTGTGGCCCATGATGACCTGATTCTCACTATGTAGCCAGGCCAGGCTGATCTCAAACTCACACGACCCTCCCTCAACTTTCTCAGTGCTAGGACTACAGGCATGAGCCATCATGCCCAGTTAGAGCGACTTTAAGCAAAATCTTATCTTGTCTCCAGATGAAATAAAACAATATGAAAAATATCAACATTCATAACCCAAAAGCACCAGAGGTTTATGATCTGACAGCAGCACACACTCAAGAGTATTTAAACACTAATACAAATTACAACCTGTCATTACACATAACATCCTTCAAAAAGCATCTAGACTGGAAGGTACTTAAGAGTTAAGTATGTGCTAAGCATGTGTAAAATCCTGGGTTCAATTCTCACCACCCCAAAGAAAAAGAAATCTGATATTTTGTTCTTGGTTTTTGTTTTGAGGGCAGGGTATCATCCAGGCAGGCCTCAAATTCTTAAGGATCTTGTAGATTCTGCCACCTAATTGCTGGCAGCATAGATGTGCATACCATGCCCAGGCTCCCCACCCCCGCCTTGGTTTTTCTAAGACAGGTTCTCATTGTATAGCAGACCCAAAAGCTTATAAACTCACTCTGCACCGTAGGCTGGCCTCATACTATTGCCAGTCCTTCTGCCTCAGTCTCTCAAGTGCCCAAATTTATAGGCATATATTACCACTGCCAGCTCTAACTTACACCTCAAGTTAAAACATACCACATACAGTTCCCATACCAACTTTGTACTCCCCTATAACATTTTATCCAACAATCATTAAATCTTTCCTCCCAGGTAAGGCATTTTGCACAAAATTCACCCCAAGAGGGAAAACATAAAATTACAAAATATTCCTATTGCAAATCAAACACCTAGTATCAATAGGTAAATTCAAATTAACTGTGCACATAAATGAAACTTATTGTGTATTTCATAAACAAAATGTCCAACAACTCAGAATCATTTAGCACTTTAAGTTGGTCCCTTAAACAGTATAACTTTCCATTTCAATGCAGACAACAGTTGGGCTTCAATAGTCCTCATAACAAGTGATAAAATCCTACCACCAACCCAGCTGGTTGCCAGAAATCATGGATATTATTTATCTATAATGAAGTTTTTAAGAACATTCAGTAAAAGCTCTTAGGACCTATCAAAAGATGTGGTAGAATACAAAAAACAAAACCCTCAGTTGACATTCTTCGAAAGATATAAAAATGATAATATTGAAAATTTGCTAAAGATTACAACTCATTAGAAAAATACAAATTAGTCCCGGTGGTGTTAAAACCTTAATCTCAGTACTTGGGAGGCAGGGGCGGGAGGATCTCATAAGCTTGAGGCCAGACTGGTCTGTGAATCGAGTTACAGAACCAAAAGAGCTGTTTGTTACACAGAGAAACCCTGTCTCGAAAAAACAAAAATAAATAAATAAATAAAAATAAAAAATAAAGAAGGAAGGAAAAACCAAATCTGCCGAGAGAGGTGGTGGTGCAAGTCTTTAATCCCAGTGCTTGAAGTAGAGGTGGACGAATCTCTGAGTTCAAGGTCAGTCTGGTCTATAGGACAGTTAAGGCTACACAAAGAAACTGTCTCAAGGGGGAAAAAAGAAAGGAAAATACAAATTAAAAAAAAGTCTAAGGAAAGGTTCAGCAGGTTTAAATCACCTGCTACCAAATTTAACAATCTGCGTTTGATCCCTGAGAATCACAGGGCAGAGGTTAGAAAACCAATTCCCCAAAATTATCCTCTGGCCTACAGATATGTACCATAATATATACACTTCTACAATCAATACATAAGTATTATATTTTAATTTAATGAGATATCATTCCACACAGAAAAGCTATAACAAAAAAAATTACTAGGTTTTTTTGGGGGTGTTTATTTTTCAAGACAGGAACTTACTACATAGTTCCACCTGCCCTGAAGCAGGTTTACCAGTAGAACTGGTAACCAGTCTGGCCTTGAACTCAGAGATAGCAGGCCACTAGCAGCAGCCTCTGGAGCCTAAAGGTGTGTTCCACTATACCCCAGCTAAAAATTATTCTTAAACCATCTACCAAATAGCAGGGTATGGTAGTGCACACCTTTGACCCCAGCACTCAGGAGGCAGAGGCAGTTGGATTACCTGAGTTTGAGGTCAGCCTGGTCTACATAGCAAGTTCCAGATAAACCAGGAATACACAGAGAAATCCGGTCTTGAAAAATCAAAAAAAAAAAAAAATCAACAATCCTTCAAGTGATGGTGAGGATACGGATGTGAGCAAGGAAAGCCCACCTAACCGATGGGAAGGGAAGATGGCATAACAACCCTGGAGAACAGTGGAGGATCCTCAAAACAATAGAAATGGAACCATCACATCATCCAGCAATCTCACTTTTGGATATTTACTCAAAGAAACTAAAATCAAGCTCTCAAAGATGTGTGCCAGGTGTGGTAGCCCAGGCCTTTAATCACTGCACTCAGGAAACAGAGGGAGGCAGATCTCTCAGTTCAAGGCCAGCCTGGTATATTTTTCAACCTTTAAGAAGGTTGAAACTTACAACATAGACAAACCTGGAGCACATTATGCTAAGTGAACTAAGCCAGAAATGAAACAATCTCATTTGTGTGTACAACAGAAGACAAGTAAACTCAAATATGCAGAATGAACAAGGGTGATTGCTAAGAGCTAAAGGAATAAAGAACAGGGAGGCTGTGGTCAAAGCCAACAAAGTTACATTTCTGCCAGATAAATAATTCTAGAAAGCTACTACATAGCCTGTTGACTACAGCTAAAAATATTGTATCACACCTAAAAAGAAATAAACTGTATCATACTGACAAAAAATATATACTGCATCAAAGAGAAAAGGAAATAATGATATCATGTTGGAAAATAATATATAACCCAGGCTGTGGTGGTGCACTCCTTTAATTCCAGCACTCGGGAAGAAGAGGCAGGTGGATCTCTGAGTTTGAAGCTAGCCTGGTATACAGAGCTAGTTCCAGGACAGTCAGAGCTGTAACACTGAGAAACCCTGTCTCCAAAAAGAAAGAGAAAGAAAAAAAGAAAGAGAGAGAGAGAAAGAAAGAAAACAGAAAACATAAAGACAGCACAAAAGAAGAAAAGAACTCCTTGATCTCTATGGCACAAAGAGGAATACACTTCTTAATATAAAAGGGAGGATCTTCTAAAGCAACAAAGTAGTTGCCTTAATTGGGAGGCAGAAATAGGTGGATCTCTGTGAGTTCAAGGCCAGCCTGGTCGACAGAGCTAGTCCCAGAACAGGCTCCAAAGCTACAGAGAAACCTCTCACAAAACACCCACCCACCCCCTGCCCAAAAAAAGAATAAAGTAGATAGCAATTCCCACCAAATTAGGCTTTGCAGACAGGAAGAAATGTTTATTAAAGACCCCACCAATACAGAGGGTAGGTATGCTTAAGTATACTAGAAAGGGTGAATTAGGAGAGCTACATTCCTATAACAAAACCAAATTAAAGAAGAGCTAACCACATTCAAATCAATTTACTTCAGGAATACGTTAAGAAAGAAATACACAACATATTTCATATATGTAACATTTCATAAACTTAATAAACTCAGACCTGTATCTTTTCCTCTTGTATAGATCCAATAGCTCACAGTATGAGAATATCTCTAAAAATTTCTCAGAGAGAGCAATTAGATTCATCATCTGCTATAGCTATAACATAAATCCCTTTAAGAATAAAAGGCAAATATTTCAAAGTAAATCTTAAGAAACAACTGTTTACAGTCTTTTAAAACACTTTTAAAAAGAGTTCTCAAAATAATGTTTCATTAGTATCCTTCTAGAAAAACAATCTCTTTCATTCTTCTAGCCATTTAAAAGCTAAAGTGTTCATTTCTACATTAGACTATTGATTCTTTGCCTTTTAACATCTCCATAACAGCTGCCTGACAAATTACCTCACCTTACTCCTCAGGGGGTAAGGACAGCATAAGATCTCTGAATTCAAAAATGGGACCACAAACTGATGAGTGGGTGATGAGCTAATAGCCTCAGATGAGTTTGACACTCCTCTAATAGACTAGGCATTCATAACATGATACAATTACATGCTTACACTCTAAATATTTTATTTGCACTTAAGTGTAGAGGACACGCTGTTCCTTAAAATTATTTAAGATTGAGACAGCGTCAGTAAGTTAAGAAATTTGTATATGTTAGGATAGTTTCTACAGGAAAAAAAACTTTAAAACACTTAGCTCAACCAAAGAGATCTATACACTCCTAAAAGTCTACTAAATTAAGACAGCTCAAAAATACTTTTCAGATTTTTCATAGAAAAAGGTTTCCCAAGACACAATGAATATATTTCGTAGCATGGTAAAATATTTCTGTTGTTTATACTAAATTTCATTCTGAGTGATGTTAAAACAGTATAAAACAGAGAAAACTTAAATAAACAATCCAAAACTTTGTAAATCCCTACAGAACCTTACATAGGCTAAGAAAAAACGGGTGTGAATTTAAAGGGATATTTTAAATAACACGGTTCGGCCCAAGTCTCTCAGGAAGTTAATCGCTTTCTAGGCATTATCCATTTGGCTCACTGAATTCAGACCCAATCTCGTAGGAACACACACATCTCGCTAACTTTAAATGACACCTGTGCCAGCTTCGTGTTCTGCACTGTGGGTGAGAGCTGCACTGTGGGTGAGAGAAGTTCAGGGTCTCAGATGTCTTTTCACAGAACTAAGTCATCCCCTGCTTCTTCAAGTGCCACTTCTGCAACTGTATGGACAACCGTGCTAGGTTGGCTTTTGTAACCCATTTCCTCAACAGAAACGTAGAAAGCATATCACTTCGGAATGATGGTGCCCACTCGACACCTTTCTTTCTACACACTCCTTTTGTGACTTAAAAGTACTCTGCTCTCTAACAGGACCTCGATTCACCCGACAGCTTACAGCGCCGCGTCTTATCTGCCTTGCCTAGGGAGGCGTTAAGAGTCGGTTTTGTTTTTAAAGTTGGTGTCAGAGCAGCTACAAACTTTTTTCAGCATCCCTGCCTGCCTGCCAACTGGAGCTCTGTTCACTTCCTTACCAACTTGAACCACCCCCAAACTAAGTAAGCTCAGTTAGACAGCGGCAAGAGCTGACACACTTTCAAGAAGGGTTTGACACCGCGGAAAACTTTCACTTCTCTCTTTTCCCCTTCCAAGCCAGGGACAGCAGCCCTGGGTTCTCGCTTCCTCTAGAATTCCCCTCCGAAGCCGCGCAAGGACACGGAAGGCAGACCGTTCTAATGTCCCCGAACAGGACCCCAAGAGTCCTCTCCTGCGGACTCGAATGCTGTTCTTTAACACAAAAGAACCGGGCCGGCACAGCAGAGGTGCTGGAGTCACGGCCCTTCGGTGGCTGCCACCCTCCACCGCACCCGCAGACGGTCTCCGGCCAGACAAAGCCCGGGCGGCCGGGCAGGCGCTCTCAAGTCTCGGTCGCGGGCCGCCGCTCTTACCCGGGCCTCGTCCAGGGCGCCGCCGCTTCCCCCGGCCTTGGCTGCCGGGCAACTGGCCGCGCGCGTCTTGGAGGAGCGGGTCCGAGAGGAGATGAAATGGCTGCTGC